GCACACACACGCATACACAGATGAAGTTGCATGATATCTATATCAGTTAGTAATGAAAAAATGCCAGTCTTTGAACATACTTTAGGTGCTACTGTCCGGTTATCTCCTTCAAGAATGATACACCGATCACTCACTGAATTGGCTTGCACATTTCGCCGCAGTGCCTCAACAGCATGGGGATTCCATTCACAAGCATAAACTAGTTTTGCATTGGCCCTGGTCAACCAACATTATCACTTAGAAACAACATCAGCAGCGAACAGGTGCATCTTAGGTATAAGAATGATAAAGCAATATGTATCTAGAAGATTCATCCAAGCGTCTTAAGTCTGCCAACGAATGTCACAAATGTTTTCCTATGATAATTATTCTTGAAGAGAATTTCACCTTTCCCAAGAAAAAGTAAAACTAAAATATAGAATTTAATGCATATTTTTCTTACTTGCATCTCTAGTATGAAATATGAAATCCTAACTTATTATCCTCCTCCTTTTAATAAAATCCATATTGCAGACAGACAAACAGACTCTGATAGACTGACTATTTTATGTTCTATATATACACCAAGATTTTTGTGTGTGTGCGCGCGCGAGAGAGAGAGAGAGATGTACCTGACAAGAAATGGCAGAACAAAATAACCAATTCCAGCAAACAAATCCACAACAATCTCATCTCTGCAATTTAGAGAGGCCATGCGAAGCTTCTCAGAAAGGTTGCCCCAGGAGAACATACACTTAGTAGCATCAAAAGAATAGAGAATGCCATTTTCACGATGATCAACCCATCCATTATCTCCTAGAAGAATCTCCAAAGTACTGTCCCTTGTACCGTTTGATGCAACTCGGCCCTGATGAATATATACAAACCAAAATAAGGCATGGAAAATGAGTAAACCAAATAACTACTTGAGAATAGTTTAATTTTAATGAGAAAAACCACTCTTTATATGTATTTATGTATATCACTTACTTGGCGTGCAAGGCGATGAGCATTAACTGATTTGGCAATAACACGCCAAAGCTCCTCCCGCATTGAGTCCCATAATGGATTCTTGAATGATGTTGCCGGAAGCACAACTATATCTCCAAGTCGCTCCCATCTAACAAAAGACAAAACCATTTAATATGAGTATCACTATCATTCACGGTCATTGTATCACCAGTGCAGCCCTCATCTATAGGTTTTAACTGAAAAACGTGATATGTGATATATAACTAACAAATCTTCTGTGTTATTATTAACTTAACTCCTCTTGCGTCCATACTTGTTTCCTTTCCCCAAATATATACATTATCAACCTTTACTCCATTAAGACAATTTTTGCCTTTTTACATGATTTATAATCAGCTTAATTGAAAGAAAAAAAAAATACATACTTGCACAGGAGAACACAAACACAAACCTTGCTGGTAGCTCCTCTAAGAGTTCTTCAGGTAGTCCTTTATCCTTGATCAGAGAGCCCACAGCTTCATTCATTACTTTCAAGGGAGATTTGGCAGCTCTCCTGACTTCAAGGACTTCATCTGCCAGCTTAGTAGCACCACATTCCTTTAGAATGTCCAAGGCTTTTGAACAGGTGACCTCATTCAACAAACATTCTTCCCCGATAACCGGTTTAACAAAGTGATCACTCTCTCCTTCAGATAAATCTGTCAAAGGACGCTTATTTTCTTTAAATACACCTGAAAATGATCCGTTTACTGGAAAACAAATATGTAAACCACCTTTCCTGGAGTAAACCTTCCTTCCAAGATCTAACCATCCAAACTTTTTCAATATGTCCTTGCCTACTTTTGCATATTTTCTTTCGAGTTGTAGAATCCAATATGACTCTACCTGCTGACCTATGCCATTTTCCCCAGGAAAGTCACTCTCAAAATTCAGATCAAGAGCTTCAGTTAAGCTTTGCGCATCTTCAGCCTGTGGATCTTGGAATCGTCCACTTTTCTCACTATTAACCATTTCATAATGGTGAGCATGCCTTTGTCCAACAACTGGTTTAATATTATTATCTATACTCATCAGGGGAAGCAGGTTGATTTTCATAGGCTTACTAAACTTTGTTCCAAATGCATAACAAGATGCGCCACCACCAATCATAACAAGATCATCACCAACAATATTAGCTGTGCTGCGCACAAACAAATCTTCACTAGTAGATTCAAGTTTCGCATGCCTCCACACACTTTGCTTCAAGTCAAGTATTGCCAACTCTTGGCAATGTTGTCTAACTGGACAACCACCAATAACTCCAAGATAATTCCTGTATACAAACATTGAGTGGGAGAACCTTGCATGCGGACTTCTCCCAGCCACCTTTTCCTTCGTCCATTTACATGTTTGGATATTAAAAACGTACAAGTCTCCAAGTGTTTGCTCACCATTATATCCTCCAAAGATATATAGTTGAGATCCACATGCCACCATTGAGTGAGAATGTCGGGCGCATGGATGTTCCCCACTGACAAAAAATTCTTTCCACTGCAGATTATCTGTATCGAGGACATGCAAGGAAGAAGTGATTTTATCATTGTTAAGTCCACCAAAAACATATATCTTTGAGCCTACAAATGCTGCAGCATGCCGATGCCTGCTGCACATAAATATAACTAACTTAGATGCATTTTTTAGAAACAAAAATAACGACCACTTTAGTAGATTATGCAGTTAAAAGTCTCACCTGGGAGGAAATACGTCCCCAGAACATTCTAAGAACTTCCATTCATTCTTTGATGTATTGAGGACCCAGACATCACTCAAAATTTTCTCAGGGTCAGACCTGCCTCCAATAACAAACACACAATCTCCGACCAAAGAAGATGTGTGACCCAATCGTGGGGACGGGCTGCTCTCTACATTAATTGCTTTAACACTGCCAGAAAAAGGATCAACCAGCCAAGAATGATTTCTTCTTCCATGCCTTCCTATGCCTCCAAAGCCACCAAACACAAGAACACCATTCTGGTTTTTGGCTTCTAATGCACAAGCAGAATGACCCCAAAGGAAAAGATTCTCTTCGGGTTCACCAGAAATTGCCATCTCAACCACAGACAGACTACAACCAGGAACTTCCACGGACCCTGCCAATGTTTCAAAGACTCAGACTTGCTTTCACATTAAAAGGAAAGGTGTCCTGCAATACAGATTTGCAATCCACTTTCATTTTCCATCAAAATAAAGGTTGCAACTTCCAAAAAATACCACAGAAACCAAAAACACAAACAAAACAACCCAAGTAAATTTCAGAGTTCAAAATCATCAAAATTAAAATACCAGAATCAGAATGGGCATTGTCATCTCTTGCTTCCAACTCAGCCTCCCCATCTGCTACAGTCCCACAATTCGCAGGAGTCGGACCCAAAAATCCCCCACTATCACTCTGCAAAGCCAGGAAAAATGCTTCAGTCCGCTTCCTGTTGGCCTCCATTTTCTCGTTTGCCACCCCAACAAGGAACCTGACATACTCGCGCGATACCATAATATCGTCACTACTCCCCAGCGGCACTTCCAACCGTATTGAGCAACGTATCGCGATAATCACGCGTTTGCTCGAATTCGTAATGCCAGACTCTCTGAACCCACAAGCTATTGCCTTTGAAACCAAAGACTGAGCCGAAGCCAAGTCCTTGCACTCAACAGCTATGATAAGAGGCTCGAATCTAAAAACGAGTTCGTTTTGGTTGTCTTGTTCGTCTTTGCGAGTTGATTCGGAACGGAAGAGGCGGTTGAGGACTGAGTCGGGATCGGCCGGGTCGTGGCTGATGAAGAGCCACGTGCCGCCCAAGGCTTTCTTCTTGGTCTTGAGTTTTGAGTGTGGGGGTTGGGAGAGGATAGAGATACGGCCGGAGCAGGAACTGGTGGTGAAGTAATTTGGGTGGCTGTTGAGGGTGTTGAGGAGAGGTATGATGGGGACGTCCACCGTGCCTTTCGGTGATTTGTCTGTCTCCTCCGACTGCAGTGACGCTAGCGTCGCCGCTTTTCTTTTCTCGAACTCCATCCTTTTCTTCTTGTTGCAGACTTGCAGCTTCTCAAAACCCTCGCAAAATCTCTAGCTCAAGCTCAACTGCTGAGGCAGAAGGAAGAGCTCGTTTGGGAAACAAAGGAGTGAGGGGTAGTTTGGGAACTAGGCGGCCCAGTTGGGAACGAGCTGCCCCATTTAATTCGAGACTGTGAGTATCATGGGCCGAACAATACAAAGAGATTTTGGTTTTTGACCCGACCTATTAAGTCGGGTTGGGTCACAAATCACTTTTTCGTTGTCATGAACTTATACTCGAGTTTCATTTTTGTCATCCTATTAATTTAACGTGTTATTTTAGTTCTTCAGTTCTCTCATTGTGTCAATTAGTCATTTCATCATATTTCTTGTCAAATTTAATTGCGTGAATTGCACGTGATAAATTTTTTGGGAATAAATCTGAATTTTTTTAGTCCATTTTGAGCAATCCAAAGCAAAGTTAGGGCTAAATTGGGATTCTTTTGATGCTTAGGGATTTTGGTGAATTGAGGTTTTAATTTGAGGGAAATGGGATAGATATGTGAATTAGGGTTTCAATTTGCCAATGGGTTCCCGCCACAGTGGTGGTGGCTTCATATAATTAAATATTTCTTTATTTTAATTATTTTAAGTATTTATTTCATGCTAATTATTTATTATTATTATTTTATATGAAGAGAAAATATTTATGCTAAACTGAAAGAAGAAATAAATTATTTTTGATTGTCTAAACTAGAGAGTATGGTTAGAATTGAAATTTTATAAAAACACTCATAAAATAACTTTATAGTGTTTTTAGGTACATTTTAACTAAAATAAGGCGCATAAATGCAGCGTTTCTAGCCCACCCCCGTACCCGCCTAATTTATAAATCATCCAAACGCAACGTTTTGTGAGCGAGGGACGAGGGCAAATACCGCGAAGCGAAACGGCTAAGATCCCTGGCGTTTCAAGTCTTCGTAGACAGGACGAAACGACACTTGCTGACGTGGCTCATCTCCAACCCGCCCCTTCCTCGTTGCCCAAAACGGTGTTACAGAGGCTGTGACCCAAGGGAGCAAACACCGATTTACAGGCTTCACCAGCGGCTGCACAATTCTCGAGCCTATCATTTCTTTTTCCGTATTTCAATTTTCGCTCGCAATCACTGGTTTTGACATTTTGGGACGTAGGGTTTTTGGGAGTGAAATTAGATAAAATTTGATGGTTGTGGATTTTAGATTTTGATCTTAAAATTCGAAGGTGCATTGCGTTTTTGGTGTAATTAGACGCCAAGTCCAAGTTTACTAGAGTTCAAAACAGGCAGCAGGCGGCCTTCTTCTTCCCAATCACAATCATCGTATCTTTGGCATTCAGAAGTTGAATTATTGGCAGGGCAACACATCATCTGGTATATCTATTTTCTTTCTTTTAAAAGGTGAGGGCTTCGCTTTGCATCCACATTGTGTTGAATTTGTTTGCTTGTAAACGTTTGGTTTTCGTTGAATTTGAGTTGAGTTTTGTTTTGTCTTTTTAATAAATTGTTAGTTCAGGTTGAAGAGTTCAATTGAGTGACTTTAGCATTGAGCTAAGTGATTTATTTAGAGACTCTTATCGAATATAAAATGGGGGGGGGGGGGGGAGTCTACTTGGTAGCTTAGTCTGAGATATGCCCATTTGCCCAACTATTCATTATTGCCTAATTCAATTTCTAATAAACATACTTCTTACTTAATTCAGTGTATCATTACTGGTCAGCCTGAAATTTAACCTTTTTATCATTTTCTGCCATGGTTCAGGTGGCAAAGGTGTTTAATTGTCATCCCAGAGACTATAGGGCCTGTTATGACTTCAAGATTTAATTAGAATCTTAAGGATCAGCTGCATGCTATATTGCTTGTCCAAAATGTCTTCGTGTCCAAAGGCACAATCAACAAAAGTTGGGTATCTTCGTCATCAAAATGCTCTTCCTGCTACTGAAAGCTTGAGTGAGCAGCATGAGAGTAGTTTGAGACTTGAGGAGGATGAGGTTGAGGATGAGGATGAGGACGAAGATGTAGATTTCAATCCTTTTCTAAAAGGAACCCTTTCACCAGAAGCTTCTTCAAGTCTGAGCTCTGAAGTAGAAGGTTTAGATGGTGAAGTTGTTGACAGCAGCAGACACACTGTTGAAACTGCTGGCATTAATTCGTTGAGCATGGCTCGTGAGGTGCAAAAGTGTTCTGTTAGAGAATCTGAGCATGGGGAGGAAGAAATTGTGATGCAAACTACTGTTTTTCCTGAAGGTGCATCTGAAAATGAATTTGAAAAAACAGTTCCTGGAAATGCTAACAAGAGAATGGCTGCCTTCATCACTCAACCAGCCAGTGAAACTGTTCAAGAAAAGGATGATGTCTCAGGCAGTGGAACTGATGTTAATGATGCTATAGTAGGAGGGTTGAGTAACACAGAAGACATCCAGAATCCCACTAGGGATTTAGATGATGAGGATGAGGATGCTATTTGTAAACGCACCCGGGCCCACTATTCATTAGCAAGTTTCACACTTGATGAACTCGAGACTTTTCTTCAAGAAACAGATGATGACGATGACCTCCAAAATATTGATGATGAAGAAGAATACAGGAAATTTCTCACTGCTGTTTTACAGGGTGAAGGTGATGACCAGTCAACTAAAGAAAATGAAAATGCTTATGATGAAGATGAGGATAATGATGCAGACTTTGAGATAGAACTTGAAGAGTTACTTGAGAGTGATGTGGATGAAAATGTGAAGGACAAAGTGGTGGAGGAGAACGGAGGAGCTGGAAGACGACCGAAGACTAGGCAGAATAGATGCCAAAAAGCTCCTGCTCAATGTAAGAAGAAGATTTTAGGACAGACAAAAAGGCCATTGCGCCCCCTTTTACCAGTTTTGCCGAAGGGACCAATGTCCTCTTTCTCTACCCAGGCCAGCAGAACTCTAATGCCTGGGACAACTTCAAGCTGTTTGTCTTCCACAGTAGAAGATCGTTCTATAAATGGATTCACTGCTCACCAGATTGGCCAGTTGCACTGCCTGATCCATGAACATGTGCAGCTACTTATTCAAGTATTTTCTCTGTGTGCTCTTGATTACTCTCGGCAACATATTGCCTCCCAGGTTAAGAGATTGATCTTTGAGATGCTCCATAAGCGTGACGAGGTACTGGCACGGAAGAGTGTACCATATCCTGCTGTTTGCTTTTTCCCATCAGTGCCAACTGAGTTCCCTAATTCCTACACG